TTCATTAATAGTTATGAATACACATTACATGTAAAGATTAGGAATAAATCTCTATAAAATATATATAAATAAATCTTTTATAGATATTATGCTCTTAGTGATTAAATATGTAGATACTCGTACTGTTTATAACGGCCGGTTAATTTGGAGGACCTCGCGCCACCAGCCGTCTTATGCTCCATGGCCGGTAGTGACAGATGTTTTACGGCGGTCGCATCCTTCTGTGAAGACGTCATCTCGCAGAAAGAGATTGTGGAGGGCCTGAGTGTGAACGCGGGTGGACGGGACGGATTTTCCCCTCCACCCGCTATAACGGCATGTCTTAATAACAGCTGTTCCCGGATCCCTCCTATTACAGACGGAGAGTGTCACACCGTGTGGTTTTAGTCGGTCCGATTCCGACACACGACCCTGCCGCCGGTGGGGTGACGGTCCCGAATGGACGGCGACGGTGGTATCACTCCGGTCGAGCCGGCCTATAGTGCCGAAGCAAGGCTATCCTACAGTTAGATCTTGTACTATGGTCTATGAAAGCTAGATTGACTGATAGAATCCATACTAATATTATTAATGCGAAAGTCTGTCTGTCTGTCTGTCTATCTGTCTGTTACCTCTTCACGTTTAAACCGCTGAACCAATTTAGACGAAATTTTGTATAGAGATAGCTTGAGTCTTACGAAAGGACAAAGAATAGTTTATGTCTCAGAACTCATCCTACAAAGGGGTGAAAGGGTGGAAGTTTGTATGGGGAATCAATAACCGCTGAACCGATTTAGATAGAATTTGGTATGGAGATAGCTTTATTCTTCAGAAAGAACATAGGTTACTTTTTACTGCGATAACCAACAAACAAGCGGGCGGAGCCCATACTTACATACTTTTTTGTAAATACTATATTATACATAGCAAAAACTCCAAAATCAATATTTGCAGATCGAACCCGAGACCCCAACAAAGCAGTCGTGTACGCTACCACTGCATCACCGAGGCAGTCAACGCAGAATCTTGAAAAGCGCACAGTAGTGAAGTGCAATATATCCAAGTGGCGGAGATGGAAGTTTAGCTGCATGGAATAATAGCGGAAAGCTGCGACCAGTATTAGTCCGAACAATACTTTGGAGCAGTCTCCATGATACAGACGATAGAGAGAGTTACTATCATTTAGGGTTTATCTGGTTTGTATGCAAACAAATAAATAAACATTTAATTGATTTCATAGATATTTTTTATAATTCAGATCAAATACAGGTTTAATTAGTTCACTTAAATAATACCACTACAATATTAACAGAAGCCAAGCTTAAAGCCTAGTGCATCGTCTTGAATGAAAGATGTATTGACCGTTTGGCAGTTACATTACGGATATTGCCTCACAAAATTGCGTCGCGACCATTTCACAAATGGACTACGGCTCAATGGCATCGTTATACGATGAATATTCAGTGAGACAAAGAGAAGGTGAAGTGTATCGGCCTATCTTTGGGTGATATCAAAGTGTAGGTACCTATCTAATGTGTAGTTACGTTTTGATATCTAGGTCTATAGAAGGTACTGATTAAACATTTTCTTCATTATTTTCGTCGAATATTTTATGAAAAATAAAAATTTCTATTGGCCACTCTATTGACTGCACTACACCATCCGTGTAGTGGTTTAAGCGGTCACATCTTCGCTTCGTACTGTGCTGAGTGTTATGGGTTCGATCTTCATATCATCAACAGCCTATAACAGTCCACTGCTGGACATAGGCCTCTCCTTATAAAGGAGGTTTTGGCCTACTATACCACGCTGGCCAGACGAGTTGGTATAGGGTTTGTTTCAAGGTTTCCTTCTCTTTGCAGTGCTGTTGTCCTGCGTAGTTTGGCCCCTTAGTCGGCTCTTACGACACCCACGGGATGAATAGGGGTGGTGACATTACGTATTCTTATTCCGTCACCACACGGACACGGATCTTTATATGAGACAACATTATGTGTAATCCACATATTGTTGCTCTGAGTCTGGATGTTTTTTGTGTCCGTTACAAATTATGTTTGTATAGTCCCATGCGACACAGACATATTCCGAGTGCTCAGATTGTCTTTTTTTTAAAGTATGGATTGACTTTTAGGTAGATTTTCTAATTTATCAGATTTTATTTGATTGAAGAGTACTAACTCTTATTTATGTACTATTATTATGTATTGACACTAGTCAATACATAATAATCATGTATAGTATGGACGGTAATTAACGCGATCACGTAACTTACTACTTATGTAGGGAAAACTGTAAGGTGTGTAGGTACCTTACCTTATGTAACATCTACCTTCTTCGAAGTGAATTGGCACAACGCTAGTAATCGACGTAGTATTTTCTTATATTATATTAAATATATATATGTGCGGATGTATGTTTATTTATGTATTGTGTATACTTCTGAACTTCAACCATGTTAAATTTAATATTTTATTTTTGCACCTACCGCATCATATCTATATTTCTACATCAACTAAAGGTTGAATGAGAGAGAATGCCCCATGGCATTAAGTCCGCCTTTGTACAACAAGTTTTAAATAAATACTTGTATTACATATCTACTCTTAAATTCCCTGACTTTTCGACCACTGAATAATCAAAGGTATGCAGTACCTACCTGATTTCCGTAAGTAGGTACATATACTTACATGATTTAAGCGTTTGTAGATAGTTAACTAAGAAGATATTAGCTAGACCCACGAACATTTTATTGACTTTCTTGTTTGGATTTTAAAATGTATGTAGATATGTCTCCGTTACTTATAGATGGCTTTTCGGTATTTTGTAATAATTTTCATCATAGGTAAACGTGTTTAAAATTTAAATACACAAGTAATGCAACAAATGTACGAGTATATTGTTTCAAGGCTGCCAAGATATAAATAAATTAAACTTATTCATATTTTTCTAATTTAAATACTTTTTTGCCGTACTGTACCTACGAATATCAAATGCTATTATACTATCCCTATGACAATACACAGTACATGATGTAACAACCTTACCTAGTTAGTTATTGAAGTCGCTGTGTACTCAATGAAACATTTAATTATATGATTATGATTTAAAAGTAGCAATAATTTCCATATCTAATTCAAACTGTATAAATCTGTGATTAAGGTTGTTATTATAGCTAATAGGTAAATAGTTTTATATCTACTGTGAGCATAGATTATTGTCTATGGATAAAGATACTAGCTTATGCTTACAGTGTAAATTCAGTTATTCGTATAAAACAGAACTCAAAAACGGTTTTTAGTAGACTTGCAACGAATAGTATATTCGGCAGTATACCGAATACCGAATATTCGGCGAGGCCCCTGACCGAATAGCCGAATATTAGGCAAAAGTATTCGGCTGGATTTTAGCGCCAAAAACTTGTACAGACGTGAATTAAATTATGTACCTGTTTTATGTACCAATGACTACTTAATAAATGATTATAAAAGAAATGAGAACCTTACCCTTCTAAATTTTGATTACCACAATAATTCAAATACATAGAATCCTCCATTTTTCCAATTCAGAAGATGATTATGTACCTGTGTTATGCACCAATGACTACTTAAATGATTATAACAGAAATGAAAATATTAATATATACGTAATCAATCGATTTTAATTTTTCATTTTACCAATTATTTCTCAATGACAAAATATATTATTTAAGTATTCGGTATTCGGCCGAATAATATGTAGATATTCGGTATTCGGCCGAATATAATAAAAGCAGCCGAATAGGCCGAATACCGAATAGTAACCGAATATTCGTTGCAAGCCTAGTTTTTAGTAATTAAATTGTAAAACCGACGATATGGAGGTTATAAAATCGAACAAAATTTAATATCAGCTATGAAAATACGTATTTAATTGTCTAAAGTACATTAGAAGTCCCTTAATACATACCTATATAAAATGTACAAAACATGGCACGAAGGATAATAGTTTGCACTATGTTATACGAAATTACGTGAAAGCAGACGTCGAAGTAAAATAAAAACTGCATACACATTAGAGCAAATTATTTTCGCATTTACGTCTAAATGACTTAAGGGTGTTGCCAGACCAAACTATCTGTTTGTGTAACTTGTTTTAATTATATGTTTTTGTGTGACCAAAATCGATCTAAGAGGCGTGCAATGGGAGAGGCCTATGTAAAGCAGTGGACCGCAATAGGCTGAGGACGGTGATATGTAGGTTTATTCGAGCGCTCACTCAGGTTTGTGGAATATCAGAGTTACGAGTAAATAAAACCTTCCTAAATTACTATCTCTATGAATATTAAACTGGAAAGATAATGGTTGTGTGAGAGCGGGTCGTGATCCCGCAATAAATATAGGCATAACATATTTATTTGTATAAAATTTAATGGTGGCGATTATTCAACAGTGCACATTTATATACTATACTATTAGCTTAGCCTATACTCTGAGCTAATGTTTAGTAAACATTAGGTAGCTCAAAGTATAGGCTAAGCTTAATAATACCACAATTATTGTACTACTTTTCTACAATAATTTCGAGTTACTAGTAATTTTTTTTTACTTACTTCAAAATGAAAGAGTTTTTAAGTTAGTTTATGCGTGCAAGTTAGTGGTTACTTATTGTTTGTGTACCGATTTAATAATTATTTGTTAAATGGAATTTATTGTAATTACTCCAAGTCGTCGCATATTAAAAAAGATTATACATGTATATATTTATTATATATATATATTTAAAAAAGATTTTCTTCCATAAATTAAAGGATGAAGAGTACAGCTTTTTAAAATTCACAATGAGTTGAGTGCAATGCAGTCGGTGATGCTTTTTCAATTATAAATAGTAGTAGTTTCCGTACAACAATATCTTGTATTGATTTATCTGTGGTTTCGTCTTTTTACATCTTTTGTGTATAAAAATCTCAAAGTATTACGTAACAGATACTGAGCTACAAACTTTTGGCTAAGTGTTGCTTTAAACCTAAAGTTAAAACTACTTACTTGGATAGTTCACTTGGTTCCACAGTCGCACTGACTTCGTCCGTGAAGTTCAAAATGTCTCCTGCCATCTTAATGTTTCTGGAACAATGCACATACAATTATAAGTTCTTATTACAATCAGTTATTATTTAAAAGTTAAAGAATGCCGACTAATATCAATAGAAGTTGGGTTTCAAGATATCTTCAGCGGCCAATCGTATTCTTTGCAGGGTAGGTATTATGTACTTCTTTGTAGGTAGGTAAGTATTGCATTATTTGGTCTGCTTAAATTTGATAAGCATCTGCTGTAACGCTGTGCCTTTTACCGTTTTAAAGTATTAGTCATAGCCGGTTAGTTAAAAGCAATCGGAAGGCCAATTTTCGTAATAAACGTTCGGTCACAATTCAGTTCTGATCAACTGTCGAACTCACAACTGTCATAAATATGAGGTATTTTCGTAGTAAAGTAGTATTAAGATCAGCAGTTTACCAATTTTCGGTGTAATACAGTACGGTGTAATAACCTTACAGTCAACGTTGGGTGTTTAATACTTTACTACGAAAATACCTTTTATGGCAGTTGTAAGACCGAAAGTGGATCGGCACTGAATTGAGACCAAACTTTTATTACGAGAATTGGCCTTCTGGTGCTATTGTTGAGCAATCCATAGTTGGAAACCATCATAAATAAAGATATTGTTGTATAACCACAACAGTCTAATAAAAACAGTTTTTGAAATAACATACTTTAAAAAGAGTTTTCTTTTTTTAATGTGTTTATTGTATGTGGTACATTTTTATCAACAGCCTTCAGTAGTACACTATCAGATCAATCAATCAATTCAATATCAGAGGTTGGTGGGTTCTATTTGTATGATACCTACGTTTATTTGTATTGGTTTTGGTGTTTCAATATATCTTTGTATATTTATTTAAAGATGTAGAATATAAAGTACAATATATGACTAGTTTCAGTCTTAGAGTTGGAGTTGTTAAATTACTAAAATTCCTCACCGTACCAGTGTACGGTGAGGAATCTTAGTAATTTCAAATTGTGTCAATAACCTCAGTAGGTTATTGACACAATTTGATGTGACCTACACAATTATGATTAAGCCAATTTATAGCCTAGTGTCGAGTAACTCATTTTAGTCAGTAAACGGATACACGGTAATGCTAGTAAATGTTAGTAATGCAGTAAGTGTGGTAAAAGTAATGAGCCGTGATACCGCAACCGTTTATTTTGTGAATGGTTTTGTCGTTGTCTGTTCTGTGTGTTCTTGTCGCTGATAGACTACTATTAACCGAGTGAACTACTAGCACTAGTAGAAAGTAAAGAATAACCATCATCACCAATCAACCTATCTGAAGGTACAGCAGTGAGCCAGTGACCCCAAAAAGTCGAAAGAAAAGAACTAGGTGCATATTCGTCGTTCTCGAATTGATTCAGGACGATTTAGACATTAGGTCTCCGTTGTGAATAAAAATCCAAAACAAATTTTCAGTAATTAATAAATAGGTATAATATTATAGGATATATTTCCTAACTTTTTCACCTGTACTTTAAAACCTATTGCAAGTCAAAGACTCTTAATTTTCTCACTGAGTCAGTCACACAACAATCATCAAATTTCTATATGCTAGGCGTACCTAGCAGATAAACAAACTTCATATTTCGAATACAGTTATTATAGGTACCCAGATAGAGTGTGTCTAGTTCAAAAGATACTTTGGGCATTCCCTTTCGTCATATAAAAAGCGAGAATGAATTATTTTTTACGTGGCATGAAAGAAATTATCAAATTTTCAATTTAATTTACTTAAGCAAACAATCCTGGGTCACTATTGCTCATAGGCGTTTTCATAGACTAGGATTGGCTATCTACTACGGACAGATACGTGTTACAGGATAACACATGTTTATTTAATACTAAAAAAAATACCGCGATCTCCTTATTTAATATAATACATTTGGGAGATTAATGTGTCCATAGTTCCATGACGGAAACTACTGGTTCCTTAGGGAAATTTCAGCGAGTATATTTGCAAGCGACGGCTATTCCCTGTTATCGTTTATCGGACGAAGCACACTTAGGAAAGGTCTGACAGCAATGTAGTTGAATTGGTCCATATAATATTCCAATAGCTAGGAGGGAAAAAAGGATTTAACAATTTGATGAAATTTTAACAATAAAAAATAATGTGCTTTTTAAAACAACTTGGGTAAGTCAAGATTAATCAATCCAGTATTCCATATTTTATTTTTTTTAAAGTCCATTTACACACATGTAAAACTGTTCTAGGAAAGAGACATTCTAATTAACTTACTTCACATGGCAGCAGCGCGTAGTAGTAAAAGGGGGAAACGTCTCGATGAAAAAGCAACCAGACAACTTTTGTAATGAATTATACTCCAGGCTCCTGAGTCCCCGAGGAACAGGAGATCCGAAGGGATTTTTCACCCAGAGTTTATTGATACAATACGATATTTACGAACTGCGATCAACACCAGCTCTACCCTAACATTACGGAGCTAAAGAATTTATTAGTTTATTTAGACGTACCGATCTCAAGGCCTGTCAGTCCGTTTTCTAGAATGTGTTGTGTTTTGTATCGTCCTTATTACGAAAGGTGCTAAGTTATATATATACCACCACACAACCACAACTATAAGAGCAGAGTAGTGAAAGAAGAAGGTATAATTAGTATACTAATTAATAATTAGAAAATTGACCTACTTATGGCTATGGCTAGTTTGGCTAGATGGATTAATAATTAGAAAACAAAGTGTTTCGAAGTATTTCGTCTATTCAAAGTTTTAGTCTTATGTCTAACAAGTTAAGATGTCCAGGACTATTCAAAAGCTTCCATGAAATTTACACGAACACGTTCAAGGCTTTTGTATCTTTTTTTTAATGAAAATAACAGAATAACAATGTGGGGTTTAAAATATATTTTTACTACATTACAAAACAATAACGACCTAATATGTATACGTTCATAAAAAGAATAGTAAAATGTAAATGCAATAAATACCTTTAATCATATTCTCAATGTCACAATGTCTACTTAGTGGAACGAGGACTTAGGAAGTTACAGGAAACTAGTTTTGGAAGTAAAATTGTAATAAAAATAGTAGAGAAAACATCAATATGCGATGTTCGTTCTACATTTGTCGATGGAATATAACAAAAAGAAATATAAGGGAACTTCAATTAATTAGTCTAATACAGACTTGATCTAAAATATCTCGTTTAATTCTCGGTATGAAGAAAAAAAATGTTGTTAGACATGTAAGTGTTTAGACGAAACAAATGGCCTTAGGTTTATAAGTTCGTAATTAGTACAACAAATAGTGTATGTGAAGGTAGGCTGTTGCATCACTAATTTATAACATTCAACTTGCCTTCTGGGTTTATTGAGGTGAGTCATTGTGAGTCATGTGCGTCCATGACGATTGTAAATAATTTTACATTTATCAATTAAAAACCTATTATCGAATTACTAACTCATGTGTAAGAACCTTTGATGGCATATTATAAGCTATTAGTAGGTAATTAATGGTTTATATACAATAACTCTATAAGAATTGGTTTATTTATATTGTTAACCTAAGACTACGAATATTTATTTCTATAATCTAGGGGCAAACATCGAAGTAACCAAATATGTCCGTTTAAACATATTTGTCCGTAAAGGTATTCAAAGAAATAATGAGTACTTACATTTAACTACATGTAATCGGTGACGGGAATCCTCGCAGGTAATAGGTACGAGGGGTGATCAATAAGTAATGATAATCAAGTATTTCTAGAACGCACAAAAACCCAAATTATTTTTTTTCTGCTTGCTTATATATCCACTACTTCAGCTTCAAAAAAATGTATAAATAGGACACCATTACCGGGAGATACATTCATTTGAATACGAACAGTCGAAGAGAAAACATCAAAATGGAGAAAAATGAAATAAGAGCTGTCATCAAGTACCTCTGCCTGAAAAAAATGTCTACCAAAGACATACACAGCGACTTAGAGGAAACATTGGGGGAGTCTGCGCCTCCATATTCCACAGTCGCACGCTGGGCAAAGGAATTTAAGCTGGGCAGAACCTCCACTGAAGATGAACATCGCGAGGGACGCCCTTCCACGTCCCTAACTGGAGAAAACGTCAAAAAAGTGGAAGATATCGTGTTGGCCGATCGAAGGGTGACCGTAAGGCATGTAGCTGAGGTCACAGGGATCTCCTATGGCAGCGTTCAAAAAATCATTGTCAACAAAATGCATATGAAAAAGGTCTCTGCGCGTTGGGTACCGAGAATGTTAACCGACGAGCAAAAAAAGAAACGAGTCGACATTTCGAGGGTGAATCTTCAAAAGTTCCAGGCCGATAAAGAATTTTTTTGTCGCGTTTTGTGACCATGGACGAGACCTGGATCCACCACTTTGATCCCGAAACCAAACAACAATCAATGACTTGGAAACGAGCTTCCTCACCAACGCCGAAGAAATTCAAAGTGTCAAGTTCAGCGGGAAAGGTTATGGCGTCTGTTTTCTGGGATGCAGAAGGAATTATTATGGTGGAATATTTGGAAAAGGGGGCCACTATAACACGCTCTTACTACGCAGGCCAAATAAGAAGATTGCGAGAAGCTATTAAGTCAAAAAGACGCGGTAAACTGCGCGCTGGAGTGCTGTTTCACCAAGACAACGCCCCGGCTCACAAAGCCGCAGTTGCGATGGCTGCCATTGAAGAAACGGGTTTCGAACTGCTCGAACACCCTCCCTATTCGCCAGATCTAGCTCCCAGTGACTTCTACTTCTTTCCTCGGCTCAAAGAACACCTCCGGGGCAACAAATTTGAGGACAATAGTGAAGTGATGGCCGCAGTAGAGGCATTTTGGGAGGGTCAAGACAAAGAATTTTTTTCTAAGGGAATCATGGGCTTAGAAAAAAGATACACTAAATGTATTAACTTGCAAGGAGACTATGTTGAAAAATAAAATACTTTTTTTAATCTAATAGTTCTGTTTCATATTGATTATCATTACTTATTGATCACCCCTCGTACATCACATACATATTCTATA